GCTGTATCTTTCTTCTTCTACAATTCAAACCATAACTATTTCCCATACGTACAGTTCTGAAGGCAGTATACGTAAGTCCGAAAAAAAACAGATTGTTTTATGATAAAGAAGATCTAAAAAAATCAAAAAGTAACTGTATTTGAAAAAGAAGGTGCACATCTTGCTGTTCTTGCTTAGTCAAAAGTCTTTTGGAGTTGGTAAGATTTTTTACTATTTAGGAAATTCACCATTTGTTCTATAGATAGGATTCCTAAGAAAAGCTTATAACAAAACGCCAACTATAGGGAAATAATATAATGATCAAAAGCAACCAGCAAGTAAAAAGAGATTTTTCCCTTCGACTATGCAATGCTCTTTTGTTGCCACTACAGCAATTCTTTAATGTCATGGAAACTATCTGATAAATGTATTAGCAGCTCAATAAATTTCATAATATTGAGGTAGCAAAGCAATTGGTATTGTTGACAGGGAACTTCCGTTCTGAGTGCTATTCTAAGGAAGAAAACACATCTAAAAATAAAAATCATACTTTGAGCTGTTTTCAACAAAAATATACAATAGTTTCAGCAAACCTGAAAGTAAACTACACTAATTATGTTAGATCACTGGAAAATGTGGTAGAATTATAGAAAAAAACAGTCAAACCTTGAAATTACAAAAATGGGATACATTGACTTAAAATTCAACGGTCTTACTTTTGGATAGTTTGCTTTATCGAAGTTACATATTTTTAATGAGGACAAGGGGGATGGGAAGAATATCGTGAATTACATGCAAATTTTCTGTCCAATGTCTCAAGATGCTAAGCATGTATTCATAAGGCATATGATCTTTCAGTCATCTATATGTATGTCTTCATCCTCTGGACATTCCCCTACCGTTACAGACACTGGCAGAAACACAAATGAACTCCCCCTTCCCGTTTTACAGGTAATACTGAAATTGCTCTGTTTTCACGTGTCCAGTACTACAATATACTTTTTTCCAAACCATTTGCTTTCTAACATTGCACTCCTACCAATCCACCTCTAGAGACTTCTAAGTAAAAGAGTATCTCTACAAAATGAAAGTAAAATAACCCTCTGATAAATAACACACCTATCCAATGCACAGACAACACTCTCTTCCTCTACAGAACAAGCATGATTTGACATACGACACAAACTTGGTTAACAAACTTGCGCTGGGTTTGACTAAGGCGCAGAAGTGGAAGTACTTATTGCCAGAAAAGGGCCCTTCACCAGGACGGCTCTGCCACAAACCACTTATCTCGGGGACCTCCCAACTTTGATGACACCAATAGTGTCTTTAAACATAAAGACAAAATCAAAAGCCATAACGTACTGCAAGATACAGCACGCAAGATCATGAAAACTTTTAAAAATGCATGAGAGCGAAACATACATGAGTACACGTATTGAAGATGCAGGGCAATCATATCACAACTCCCATATGCACTTCTCTTCTTTGTTTCAAGTGTAGAGGAATGGGACAAGGCTGGTTTTAAAGCATTATATTGGATGTTAGTCACATTAAAAAAGATAACTCCAACTTATTGCGTTGTGACCAAATATGAATAAAAATATAATTAAATTAATCAGAACAGTTTAGTCTTTACTGTAGGTAAACAGAGCAGCTTTTCAGCTTGTAACTTTCGAAAGCTTAAACTCAGCTCAACAGAGCCTCAGAAAGCACATCTTACTTTCTAAGTACACTAAATGTTTGTTTACAAAAAGATACAATACACACACTTCTGTTAATTAAAAAAAAAAAAAAAGAAAACAACAACAACAACCAGTAACAACTTAATTTCTGTGGGGTTTTTTTTCCTGGAATAAGCAATACTGAAAATTCCAGTTTTTCTTATTACATTTCCTAAATAGCAGGTTATCCTTCAGACTTGTACACAGCGTCAAAACATACTGTCTTTTCTATTTTTCTTTCCTGAAACATTTTTATTACCAAATGAACAACAACAACGCTGACTTATCTATCTGTTTTTGCAATACAGGCATATATGTTCACAGAAAGCAACAGACTGCATTAAAACACTACCAAAACAAGCCATTTCACTATATATGACTCTGCCCCTAGGGAAAGGAATGAGAGCAGATAAGATGTGACAGATGTGTAGTCACGTCACTTAATACACTACTGGAAGGTGCTCAAATCATTATGGTGACAGGCATAGTATAAAAACTTGCAAAGAATGGACTACGCATTTATCTAGTTTTCTGCATACATGATTCTTGCAATCAAAGAAGATACTGAAGCACATAAAAGTGCTGTCTGAGAGAAGGCGGCCTGCAAACGTCAATATGCAATACAGTAATTAAAAAAAAAGAAGAGAGTATAGCATGTATGTTTTTGTCAGCAAAGCCTCTCCATCATGAATATGAAATATGTCTAAGGTTGAATTTGAGGTCTGTCCTCTAAAAATTTCCTGTACCAAAATATTTCTGAAGAGGTTTAATTAAACTTGAAATTTACCCCAAAACAAGAAGTTTAAATAAAACTTAGCAACTGCAGATCTCCAAACTGATTTCATTTTTCTGAGACTTTAAAAAGCTATTTTCCTGAAATCTCTTCTCCATTTTGGTTTGAAAGACCCAAACAGTACGGCTGAAATTGGAAATCATACAATTACTGGACTGAAGTAATAGGACTAGTCAATTGTTTGAAGATAAGTGTAAACCTAAAAGTTTAAAAAAGTAGGACATTCAGACTACTGCCCAAGGAAAGTATGAAAAAAGCAGGAGGAAATTATTTCCTCACTTCTTTCACGTTTAATAATCCTGAATGTTCCAAATATTAATGCTGGTCAAGAGTACTTCCAAACAGTAACATGATTTTTAACTGCCAGCATCCCTTCAGCGGGGACCAATACCACTGCTGTTTCAGCTGATAGACTGTGAGGCCCAAATCCTGCACATTAATCTGCCACAGGTAGATCCCTGTGCCTCTGGGAATCCGCATTAAGTCAAAGAGGGAAAACTAACTCACAGGATCAAATTCTTAATTTGAAGCTGGACCACTGTAACTCATCATGACACTAATCATAAATGTCTCACCAACACTCTCTGCTCCCCATCTGTTTGTTTTATCTTATTATAGTTTTATATCTCAATCCACAGGACTAGCTACAGTCGTCAAATTAAGCCTATGTTTCTGCAAGACCAGGCCCTCAGACAAAGGCAACGTTTTTCTTACACTTGTGCACATGCCTAGTTTATTCCCTGAATGGGACTATACAATAGAATGAAATAACTGTAACATCAATTTTTTCATTTATACAAATACAAATCTCAGTCTTTTCCAGTAATCTGACCATTTAAGCCAAATGATAAAGTCCCTTCACCTCTTGCAGTGTAGCAACTAGTGTTTTCAAAAGAAACAACCTGCGTATCAAAAATGACCTGCGAAAGTATAAAACTGAGCTTTAAAATAATTTGGAAGAGGCATTTGTTTCTCTACCATTCTGTCACAAAACAACAAGAAAAATTCATAAAATACTACTCATTGCAGACTACAAAGCCAAATCCACTGACACCAACAGACCCTAAACCAAGAAATGCCGAAGGGGGGGAACATTCTGGTACAGCATCACTCCAGGCCTCCCTGGCTTCTCTGTTCTCCTCTACACTTCCAAGTCAGTCACTGTCAGCCACAATGCCATGGGGCTGGACGGACCCACTATGGCCATTTGTGCATTCTGACAGGTATCCCCCAGAAAGAAGCCTCAAATATTTTAATGACAACTTCACTATAACTAATCCTAGAATCCTACTTTTAATTAAATTAAAAGACACGTATTAAGGTGTGAGTTTGGGGGGGGGGTGTTGGCTTTTCTTTTTTGCAACTTCTTCTTATGAAGAAGGGGGGTTAAGAACTAAACCAAAGGGCAATTATACACACTTATTACATATTTCAATACTCTGATTAACAAATTTGTCAAACAGATAGAGGAGGGAATGTGGGAAATATACTTGTTCACAAAGCAAAAATGGGACAGACATAACATTAAACCTTGCCATTTTCCAGAATGATAAGCACGAACCATGCTTATTTTCACTACTTGTGACAGAAAAGAAGAATAGCAATGAAAAAAAACCCTGAAACTAAATAAACCATCGGAGAATTCAGAGTAAAAGAAACACTTCTGGAAGGCAATTCCTCCTTCCTCACCAGACAGACATAATTCTCAGGTGCTGCTGGCCCCTGGATTTGTACTGAAATTCAGTGACAACTGGGATTTAGGGGAAGCATTCAAGATATTAGAGAGATATTGGCATCCTTTCAAAAACAGTATGCTGGATCATAATTTTCTTTCCCAAATTAGAGGTTAAATCTGCCAGCAGCACAACAGGAGCTGGGATATACAGGCTCTCAAAACAGTAGTGTCTTGCCTAAGACCTGATTGGCAGCATCTTTCCTCTTGAGAGGTTGCAGCTCATGGGACCTTTCGATTTCAAAACCGAGCAGAAGCCAGGAGCTGGGAGTTACCTATTCACAAATGCTATGAGAAGGGGTCCCATCTCCCCACTAATGCCTTGCTGCAGGGCATTCAAAATATCCCTGTGGGCTGCATTTAGCACCGGCATTGCAGGTTGCACACCCACACGTTACAAGGTAAGATCCTAAAAAACAGTTTCCCTCTGCTCCCAAGTGAATTAACCCTTACCAGAATTATTGTTCATTTAGGTCAACTGTTGAGGGTTCACAAACTAAAATACTCACACGTAGCCCGAGTGCCTTGAAAATTCAAGTCATGGTACGAGTTAACATTAGCATTTAAAACTTTCAAAAGCATTGCAAACAATTACCACACCCTCAAGTCACAGATAAAATATTTTGTAGAGCTTAAATACATACATATCTGGCATGAAACATTTCTTATGGCTGGCAAAATCTCCCTCCAATTCCAGGCAGTTGAGTTTAGAAGCAGAGTAAAATTGTAGAGGAAAATTGTTTTATTTATTAAAAATCATTCCTGATCTTACCTTTTAGCAGAGGCAGGGGAGTTAACTCGATAGGCTTGCCCTGAGACCTAAACTGGGAGGAGCTTTGTGACCTCTTCTGTCTGGCTTTTCTGACGGACTTCCGAGAAAATCCGTCTACTTTATCCACTGATGGAGGAGTAGTTGGTGCTGAGGACATATCCCTACTGAAGGAAAACAAATGTTACAAACATATTCCAAAGGGATGAAACGGGTAAAGATTAACCTAAATGTTCCAAAAATCTTTCTCTTTCTGCACCTCTCCTGCTGACAAGTCACCCAGAATGACTGTTAAGAGAGCTAACCCACCGACATATGTACGAATTGTATGGAATGAACTTAATGGAACAGTGTAGTAATTCTTCTTGCTCACTTTTTTATCTGTGTCTCCCATTTGCCAAAAATCCTGCAATAGGAAAAATTCAGACCTAATGCTGACATCATTACATCAATACAACTTCACACACCTGCAAACTTGACATAGGCCTTAAACTATATGTTCTTTGGGATGAAGTCATTTCAACTCATTCTGCAAGGCACCATGCATGCTAAAGAATAAGTACCCAAAATGGTACAAATGTTTTTTTGGCATTAAAGTCATCAATATGCATAGGACCAAAAAAAATAGGACAGAAGAAAAATTCCATTTATTTGCCACACCTACATACGGGATTTTAGAGGAATATAAGAAAGTATAAGAAATAAATAGAAATTCTATATAGAATTATACAGAAATATAAAAAAAGTATTGCTATTCTTCACAATTTCACTAACACTGACAAATTTTACATATTACTTCTTTATTCTCCATTTTAGAAAGACTCAGTCTGAAAGACTCAGACTTGTGAGTCTCTTCATACATAGTTATTCCACATTCTGACATTTCTGTAAGAATAGCAATGTGGTAGTCATAACTGTTCTAAGGGCATAAGCCACACAAGGTTTGCAGGGAGAGGCAGAGAGCCAAAAAAGATTTCTGCAAGCAAAAGTAAGTTTGTTTCCCAACTCTATCAGCTGGTCTAAGAAATAAGCATTGCTTCTTCCTATAAAACTTGCCTTGGTAGTACTCCTGTAGCTGATTCCATACTTCTAAGAAATACCAAAAGGAAACATTTAAACAGTGACTTAATCCAGCCAGCTATTGTATTTACCGGTCTTGTTCTCTCTGTTTAAAAGGCCCATCACATCTTGGTGAAATACATGAGTAATAATTAAGGGAAACGAGATAGGAGGAATTTAGGCCTACATATTTCAAGCAGCTCTGTATACAGTTAACTTCACCAGCATGTGCACCTCTACCGAAATCAACAGAACCATCTGCATTAATAACAGGATCGTTAACAAGAGCAGCTCTGTTGATTTCAGTAAGGCTACACACTCCTGCAAAGTTAAGCATCGGCATAAGCATTTGCAGGATCAGGGTCTTAGAGCACGTCCTTGGAAAGCATTACTCATCCTCAATGTCTGTTGACTTCAATTACCAAAGTGACTCGTATGCTAAAAGAAGTTGATTCCACAATATAGAGAACACTTTCGAGTAATTATTTTATGAAAATAATTGGTTACTCATATGCTTCATAATTTATTAAATCCATTGAAACAGACATTATTTGGGTTTGTCTTTTGTAAGAAAAGCTTTAGGAAGTATGATTTATTGCAGCAGTGTAAACAAGTTCCAAAAGATAAGAACTACTTAATGCAAAATTACATATACGTACACTAAATCTATCAAAAAATGGAAGTTTAAACTCCATAGCTTCTTCGAGGAAGCATGTGCAGCACCCAGAAGCTGAACTGTGCAGCTGGCATTGCAATAATAAAAAAACCTTACTCCATCTTTTTTATTTCTCCTGAGGTATTCTTTCACTACCAACTTATGCTTTCTAAATATAATATACTATCAGCAACATGAACCTGTGCCTTAAACTGGTCTTGTTTATCGTCTGGGAGGAAAAAAATGCCACCATCACCAGGGCATTCAGGCCCCAGCCAAGATTAATAAATAAAAAAGTCAGATAAACTGAAATAGAATGGCCTGTAGTTTAGCAACCCACTTCAAGATTTCAACAGTCCGCCAAAAAAACATACGAACACAAAGTTACCTGTTACATAAACCGAATTCTGGAAATATCAGCAAAAATACATTCTTAAAACCGGAATTGCTTGGCCCTATTTCATCTCGTCAAAAAGATTCACCGCCTCATCACGTGTATCATCAAAGTGTAACCATTTCTGCAGAAAGGTTTGCACGCTCTCTCAAAATTAAATTGCCAAAAAATAATAATAATAATGGACAGGGACTAAAGTAGATCACTTAAACTGCAGGATCATTGTGTCAGCAAGAAGCTTTACTGACACTTCTCTGCTGTAAATTTAGTAACAGTTTCCCTAACCTGCTTTATAAATTATTAAAATCTAATTCTAATTCAACAAGACTACATCCAGCCTAACAACCTTACAATAAACACTGATCTTTTTTTCATCTCTCCAAATGAACATTCCCTCCCCTGAATACACTATCACAGTGAAACACACTGTTTCAACGAGGGGGGG